TTTTTTTTTTTTCACAAATGACTTTTGAATATAATTCAACAAATAAAAAAAAAAAAAAATTTTTTTTTGCTGACATTTTTTTTTTTTTGTATAAAAATAATTTTAATTCGAAAAGTATATTTACTCTCAAATTAACTTTCTTATATATATATAATAAAACCCATTCATTCACATACATATAATTTTTTATTAAATGGTAGTAAAAAAGAGTTTTTTTTTTAAAGCGACGGTTAATAAAGGTCAAAGTTCACAAAATGACCGTTAAATCATCTTAATTAATTAAACTTTCTTTGTTTGTTTGTTGAGGTCATGATAATTTTTTTATAAAATAAATATAAATCGTACTTACCATCCGAATATCGGTGGACACGTTATTGCGATGGCGACCAACCAAACAATTAATATCATTAAAAGTGCCAATTTTTTAGATCTTCTTCTTCTCGAATAATTCAACGGTTGTGTAACGGCCAAATATCTGTCGACGCTTATAGCGCACAAGCTTAATATTGATGCCGTACAACAGAGTACGTCTAATGATATCCAAATATCACAAAAAATTTCTCCCAACTCCCACGAACCTTGATCGATCGATCGACAACAACAATAAAAAAAAAAAAAAATGACGAGACGAAACAAAAAAAACTTTAATCGAGAAACAATAAAAATAAAAATAAAAATGGCGAGACGAAACGAAAACTTTAAAATTTACTCACCCATCAAATGTAGCGCCACTTTCGGTGGCATGACGAAAACACCAACCAACCAATCAGCGACGGCCAATGACATGACGTAACAATTAGTAACCGTTCTTAATCGTTTCGTCACGATAACGGCTAAAATAACCAAAGTGTTGCCAACCTAAAATAAAAATTTATCTTAACGCTGATTGGTTAAATTTAAAAATAGAATAAAATCTATACTTACGACCGTTATTATAATAAATATACAAAGAACGGTTGCCAATGCCAAATCTTCCCAGGTTAATTGATAAAACCTTGAAAATTGATTTGGTAAAAAATCTGTCGTCGCGTTAAAACTTTCCTCATCTACGGTAACGTTGTTGTCCTTAGCCATACTGCTTCATTTTCTATTTCGTTTAATGAAAGCAAATAAAAACAAAAAAGTAATAATGATAATAATATTTAAAGTAAAATCCATATTAAAATATTATACACGTATAATTAAGATAAAAATGGCGAGAAGAACAAAATGGTGGAATCGACGTTCACGTAATATCACGTAATTAAAAATAATTAATTATTCATATTAATTTTCCTCTTTTTTCCAGAGGTTTCCCCCCCCCCCTTACATTAAAATAAATAATTTCTGTCTTTTCCTTTTTTTAAACTCCTTACTTTACACTCGAATTCACCAACGATAATAATAATAATAATATTATTATTTAAAGAAAAAAAAATAAAAAAATAAAAAAGTTGATCCGGGTAAATAAAAAAAAAAAAAGGAAAAGGTTCGAATAAAAAAAGATCAAACAAAACGTCATGTTGTAAATCTTTTTTCCTTTTTTCCTTTTTTCCTTCTTTCCTACAGATTTTCATTTCATTTCTTACATTGATATCCCGCGTAAATTTCTACAGGATGATTGTCCAGAATAAAAAAAAAATTTTTCCAAAGGTTTAACTTTTGTTTACTTTTTTTATTATATATTTTTCCAAAGAAGAGGGGGGGGGAAAGAAAAAAGAAAAGCTCCACGAGCTTTTGTTACATGCTAAATAATAATAATAATAAAAGTTTAAAGTTATATTTATTAAACAATTTTTAATAATTTATTTTACTAAAAAGTTTTCAATTTCTAATACCCTTAATAAATTATTATTTATTTATTTATTTTATAAGAATTTTTAAACCGAAAAAGGGTAACGGATTAATAATTTCCGGTAAAAAATTATTTTTAAAAAAACAAATACGCAAGTCATTTCCGTTTCCGTTTTTTGTTTTCTTATTCTTTTAACAAATAAAATTTTCTTTTTTTCCAAATTTAAATGATTCAATATCGATTCATTTATTCATTCCAACGATTATTATTATTATTATTTAAAAAACAAATAATAATGATAATGAATTTTATAAAAAAGAAAAAAAAGAATTTCAAGAATTATTAATTTATTATTAATTTAAACAAATGAAAAAAAAAAAACATGGCGTCAATAAGGGGAAAAAAATAATTTTTTTTTTTTATCTTTAAACATCATCACCATCACCACCACCACCACCACCCCTTCCTACATTTTTCCCGGATAAACCACCGCCGCCTTTTAAAAGTCTTTTTTTTTTTCGTTTTGTTTTGTTAAATTTAATTTCTTGAAAAAAAAAAACAAAAAAATCCCCGAAAATTCGTTACTATTGTTTTCGGGGAAAAAATTTCCCCTAATTTTCCCTCATTCTCACATTTCAATGTAATCATGTCGTGTATTTTGTCTTTTTCTCTCTCTCTCTGTCTCTCTCTTTCTCTATTATTTTTTTTTTCGTTTTTAAATTAACATTAATTTAATATTTCTTATTATTATTGTTATTATTAATATTATTATTATTATTATTAAAGTATAAAAAAAAAGGAAAAAGGTAAAAAATTAATATACGTAATTAGTAATATCAATAATCACCTGTCAGGTATTGACAAAAAAAAAGAACAATAATGATAATGATTTCGTGCTCGCGTTTATTATTATTATTATTATCATTATTATTATCATTAATATAAAATTTACGAATTGAATTCATTAAATTCTCTCTTCAATTACATTTGACAAAAGGTGACAGGAGAAGGTCAGAAAATTTGCAAAAACGAGCACACCTGAAAAATACGTGATAAGGAAGAACAACGAGGGAAAATTTTTTTTTTTCACGGCGCAAAAATATTTCACCGCCATATTTAATCGAATGATAAGGAAAATTAACGAACTATGACGTTCGCGGGTAATTTTTAACAAATTTTTTTTACGACGTTGAAAATTTATAACGGAAAAGCGCACAAACGATAAACTATTGAAAAAAAATAAAAAAGTTGCCATGTTTAAAAATCATTGACGTCACTACGTAATAACTTAAACCACGTTCAGAAATGACAAATTTTCATTTTAATGTTTACCTTACGGAAGGTGGAAAATTATTGACATATTCATCGTTTCCGTTTCCGTTTTTTTTGTTTTCGTCACTGACTGACTTTCATCATTCGTTCGACAAAATAATAATAATAATAATAAAAATCGTCATTTTAATTAAATTACATAATATTTTATAAGAACAAAAAAATAAATGAAAAAAAAGAAAAGAAAAAAACGAGAAAGAAAGAAAAAAAAAGAAAAAAAGGGAACAAAAAAAAAAAAAAGGAAAAAAATTAAATGATGAAAAGGTTGATAGGGCGTAAAAAAAGAAGAAGAAAAAGAAAGAGAGAGAGAGAGAGAAAAAAGGAATTCATCGAAGGTTGAGTGAAGAAGTTTAAAAAATTTCATTTTATTCTATAAAAAACTTTTTTTTTTTACAACAGCAAAAAATAAAAGAAAAAAAGTTTATTATAATTTTTGCATTGTGATTTTCTTTCTCTCTTTTTTTTTGGCGGGAAATTTTCTTTTTTTTAAGAAAAAAAAAAGTTTTAAAATTTTCCAATATCTAATTCCACGACTACTTTTTTTTTTCTTGTATTTAAACAAGTAAATGAATGTAAATTTAAAAAAAAAAAAAAAAAAAGCGCAAAAAACAATAAGTTGATGCGTAACAAAAAAAAAATTTTCTTCATTTCCATGAAAATCGAAAATAATAATGATAATAATAATAATAATAATAATAATTATAAAACCAAAAAAATTTTTTTTTTTAAACGCAAAATGAAAATTGTTTATTAATGTCGTTCGTTCGTTTGTCATTCCTTTTTAAATAATTTTACTTCGCGATTTCGACGCGTTTCCCCCTACCCTACCCCCCTTTCCCCCCGCAAAATGTCACGTAAATAACTTTCACGAAAATTTCCATTAGATTGATTATACAGTCATGTATAATTCTCGAATGAGTTAAAACAAACAAACAAACGAACAAACGAACGGGAAAAAAATTGATTTCATCAACTTTTGTAAACATAAACGAACGGTTTTCAAAAACAAAAAAAAAAAAGAAAATGTTTTCTTTCTCTCTCTCTCTCTTTTTTCTTTATTCTTCTTCTTTTTCTTCTTCTTCTTATTTCCCTTCGCGTGAGAATTTTTCATACGTTTCACGTCATCACGAAAAATAATAATAATAATAATAACGAAACAAACGGTTTAAAACAAACATGAAAAACAAAAAGAAAATAATACCGTGTAACGTTTTCATTCGGAAAAGTGGAAAACTTTTTTTTTTTTTTTAATACGAAAAAAACCATTTCCCAAATAATAATAATAATAATAAATTTCATTTTTCTCGGTTTCGACAAGGTGGGTGGGGGGGGGGAAGAAAAACAAAATGGCAACGACAAACATTTTTTAAACAATTTTTTACAATGAAAACCTTAAGCGAAGTCGTTTGTCTCTCTCTCTCTCTCTCTCTCTCTCTCTCTCTCTCTCTCTCTCTCACTCTCTTTCTTACAAAATTAAATTTTCTATTTTCCTTTGATTTCCTTTTCCGATTCGAGTTATTAATATTTAAATGGATTTAATGATAAAAAATAATTTTCGTCAATGAATTTACAATTAATAATAATGATGATGATGATGATGATGATGATGATTTTAAAGTTAAATCATAAATGATAATTTTAACATAAACAATTTTATAATTTAATTACACGGAGAAATTGAAAATTAAATTTCGCTTAAAAATTTTCACACATTCACACGCACATCCCCGCACTCACGCACACGCACCCGCACACTCGGGGAAACGTGTGAAAATTCTCAAGAGAGATATTGAAGAAATTTTAAATGATTTCAAATTTATTGAAAATAAACGTACGAAAAAAAAAAAAAAAAAAAAAGGTTTCAAATTTTTATCATTATTATTATTGATTTTAAAATACGTCATTTCCTGTTACCCACGCATTTTTCCACATTTTTCCCCAAATTTTCCACGCATTTCTATTTTTATGTTCGATTAGCTAGTTAAAAAAAAAAAAAAAAATTAATGCAAAAAAAATTTTTTTTTTTTTTTACAAAATGTCATGAATATCGCAAAAAAAATTAATAATAATAATAATAATAATAATAATAATAATAATAATAATAATAATAATAATAATAATAATAATAATAATAATAATAATAATAATTTTTTATTTTTTTTTAAAAATCATTAAAACTGAAAATATGATAAATTCAAATCAATCGTCAAAGTTAAGTTAAACGTAAAATTAAATTTTTTTCCCTTTTCCTTTTTCCTTTTTCCTTTTTTCTTTTTCTTATTATTATTATTATTATTTTTTTTTTTCTCTAAATCAAAAAAAAAATTGAAAAATAAAAAAAAAGAAAAAAGAAATGAAATTTTATTACGAAAGGATCAAAAAAAAAAAAAGAGAGAGAGAAAGAGAGAGAGATAGAAAAAAAATTTTTTTTTTTCTAATGATTTTCCCTTCCACCTCCTCTCTTCTCTCTCTATCTCTCTCACACTCTCACTCTCTCTCTCTTCTCCTAATTTAATTATTTTATCTTATTTCCCAAAGACGATAATTACAATCATCATCATCATCATCATCATCATCATCATCATCATTCATTCGGATTATTATTATTATTTTTTTTTTAAATAAAATCGAAATCGAT